CCTCCCTCCAAAATGCAGGCAACTAAATCAGATAGGGAGACTGGCCGGTCTTGAGAGAAGACATAACTGCATCTTTCAGTCATCATCAGAGTAACACAGCACTGTGGTTTGATCACATGGAGAGAGGTGGCTAAATAAGAATCACGATAAAAAATAAAAGCAGAATCCCAATCGTTTGGACAAAACGTTAAATAAAAATGTTCATGGTTTCCAAGTCCTTGACCGCTGTAGGGAACTGAAAGCATATTGATCTCCTTTTGTTACTTGAAACTGTCCCATACATACAAATATGAGTAACGAAAAGGCTCAAACTTTGCTTGTCGACTCAAAAGACAACCCATGCTTGCAATGTTCCTCCTTAATACAGATACACTTCACCAGCAGAGGGGAGTTAAAAACAAGTTCACAACAAGGGGTTTCCAGAAAAATACTGCAGCCGGTCTCTGCTTAATTTTTTCTCTTTCATTCTTCTGTTCTGAAACCAAATTTTAACCTGTCGATCAGTAAGATTTAGCATCCTAGACAACTGGAGCCTCTTTTCTTTGTTTATATAGACATTGAAGAAAAATTCTCTTTCTAGCTCTCTTATCTGGAATTTCGAATAAGGACACCTCTTCTTTCTTGTACGGGGAGCACCTTAAAGGAACCAAAAGGGAATGTAAATACTAAGCGAAAAAAAAAAAAAGAAAGAAAGAAAAAAAAAACCAACAACACACAGACTCATCTCTAGCTCAGATCACACAGACAGCGGGCATATACATAGGGAGAAATGCACTGGGTCATACATATTCGCCACACTTCAGGCATTGCCTATTGTTAGTAGCATGCAGAGGTGAACTCAGATGTGGTAGGAACGACCTTGTATGAACTAAAATACACTTCCCCCTGCCCAGGATTTGGGGCCAGAAATATAGTGGGTCAAAACACCCTTTGGGATGGCAGGCAACAATATATCTCAACAGGCTTCAGGGAAGCAGAAGCTGCTGAAAAACACACGCTCACAGCCTGCAAATCTGTTCTCTGTATAGAAGCAGCAGGAGCGATGCTGGAATTGTATGAACTACACACGAAGGTCCGCATAAGTTTTTGATTATCTCCAATACCACTCGCCACACACCAAAAAAAAAAAAAAGGAGAATCAAAGTAAAATAAAAGGGAGCATCTGAACAGCAAAAAGGATGTATTGTTTTCATCATGGAAGCGAGGAGGAAAGA